GATGAATACGCTTTGGAACGCGGCGCGAAGGATGCGTAACCGGTCTTCGAACAACGAGAGCGAGGAGTACTCAGATCGTTGGATTCTCAAGTTCGCGCGAAAAGTATGTCCTGATTCCGTGCCGGTACAGATGATTCCCCGCGAAACGACGAATTCGGTAGACGAGATCAGCAAGCCTTTTTCAATGCTAGAACTCTCACTCGCGCTCCTTTCGTGTGGCAATTCGGCTCCGGGAGCTGATAGAATCAAGTTCAACTTGTTGAAGAACCTCCCAGACGTCGCTAGGAGGCGCATGTTGAACTTGTTTTGTCAGTTCCTGGAGCTCAATATTGTTCCAGATGTTTGGAGGCAAGTGAGAGTAATAGCCATTAAAAAGCCTGGAAAACCCGCTTCAGATCATAACTCGTATCGTCCCATCGCGATGTTATCGTGCATTCGAAAATTGTTGGAGAAAATGATCCTTTTTCGCTTGGACAAATGGGTTGAGACGAACCACCTACTCTCAGATACTCAATTTGGATTCCGTAGGGGCAAGGGAACGAACGACTGTCTCGCGTTGCTTTCCACTGAAATTCAGTTGGCTTTTGCTAAAAAAGAGCAAATGGCTTCTGTCTTCTTGGATATTAAGGGGGCTTTTGATTCAGTGTCGGTTGAAGTCCTTTCAGACAAACTCCACGCATGTGGCCTTTCTCCATTAATTAATAACTTTTTGTACAATTTGCTGTCAGAGAAACATATGAGCTTTTCTCATGGAAACTCTACAGCTTCTCGATTTAGTTACATGGGTCTCCCCCAGGGCTCATGTTAGGGCCCCATTTTGTATAATTTCTACGTCAGAGAAATTGACAATTCTCTAAGTGACAACTGCACGTTGAGACAACTTGCAGATGATGGCGTAGTGTCTACGACAGGGCCCAAAGGGGTCAACCTGCAAGGACCCTTACAGGATACCTTAGACAATTTGTCTACTTGGGCTATCCAGCTAGGTATCGAATTCTCCACGGAGAAAACTGAGTTGGTCGTTTTTTCTAGGAAGCATAGCCCAGCACAACCAAAGCTTCAACTTTTGGGTACACCGATCACTCATTCCATGTCTTTCAAATATCTTGGGGTCTGGTTCGATTCCAAATGCACCTGGAGATCCCACATTGAGTATCTGAGACGAAAATGCCAACAAAGGATCAATTTTCTCCGAACAGTAGCTCATCCGCAAGATCTTCTAACGTTGTACCGGATAACGATTTTATCGGTTTTAGAATACGATAGTTTTTGTTTCCCGTCGGTGGCTAAAACTCACATCATCAAACTGGAACGTATCCAGTATCGTTGTCTTCGTATCGCATTAGGATGCATGCACTCGACTCATACGATGAGTCTAGAAGTGTTGGCGGGCATGTTGCCACTATCGGATCGGTTTTCGGAATTGTCCCTCAGACTCCTCACCCGTTGTGAAGTTATGAACCCACTGGTAATCGAAAACTTTGAAAAGCTTCTTGAGCTGAACCCTCAAACTCGTTTTATGTCATTGTACTACGTGTACATAACACTGGATGTCAGCCCTTCACAGCATAATCCTCATCGTGTATGCTTCTCCGACTTCGGCAATTCAGTTAGTTTTGATTTATCTATGACGGGAGATTCGTGGGATCCCAGAACATCATCGTTCCATGATTGTTCCGTCAATTTATGCTGCAAAGTTTGGCCAAGTTGATTCCGCAAGATCGTTCTTCACAGATGGATCATTAATAGAGGCGTCCGCTGGTTTTGGTATTTATAGCGAATTTCATAGCGCCTCTCGAATGCTTCAAGCTCCTTGTTCCGTATATGTTGCTGAGCTGGCGGCAATATACTATACGCTAGAAACGATCGCCTCACTTCCACCAGATCACTATTTTATTTTTACGGATAGTCTCAGTTCTGTCGAGGCTATTCGCTCTATGAGGCCGGTAAAGCACTCCTCGTATTTTCTCATGAAAATACGAGAGTTTCTAAGTGCTTTATCTTTAAGATCTTTTGTCATCACCTTTGCATGGGTCCCATCTCATTGCTCGATTCCGGGTAATGAGCTGGCGGACTCACTTGCTAAGGTGGGCGCTATGGAAGGCGATATTTACGATCGACAAATCGCCTACGATGAATTTTTCTTCATTTATCGTCAACAGTCACTCGTCAGCTGGCAGAATAAATGGAGTGAAGGAAGTTTGGGACGATGGCTATATTCGATCATCCCTAAGGTGTCGAAGAGTCCTTGGTTCAAGGGGTTGGATGTGGGTCGAGACTTCATTCGTATGATGTCTCGCCTCATGTCAATCCACTACTCGTTAAACGCTCACTTGTTCCGTGTTGGGCTGGGGGACAGCAATCTCTGTGAATGTGGACAAGGTTACCAGGACGCAGATCACATTATTTGGTCTTGTGCTCAGCATCGCGGAGTCAGATCTGAACTGTACGATTCCCTTCGGGCTCGAGGTAGACAACCTAATGTTCCAGTTCGAGATATTTTGGGTAGACGCGATCTGGAGTATATGAAACTTATATATGTTTTCTTTAAGAATATTAACCTTGGATTGTAAGTTTGACTAACCTTGTGTTTAGTTTTTGTTTTGTTCGTGTGGGTTTTTTTTTTAATGTTTGTTTCTGTAATAATTGTAATTACACTGTGGATACCAAATTGAATAGGAATAAGTTCATGTTTTAAGAATAATGAAATATTTGTATCGTAAATCATAACTAAAACCTCCTCCTCCCTCTCCCCATCCTTATGGATGTAAATCTCTACTAACCTCGAGATGACCGCGAGTAATCGGTTCAGTTCCTTTAAATCTAGATTTAAGAAATCAATTATGTATAACGCAAATGATACCTTGGCTCTGTAAAGTTTATGCGATTGAGCCTGTACAAATAAATTCATTATTAAAAAAAAAAAATGTTTCACACACAGTCTGACGTATGCGTACGGGATTTTACGTTGAAGTTTTTCTGTAGTCCTTCGGTCGTTCCTGCTGGCTGAAGTCGTCGTATACCAAAATGAAGCACCATAGGCTATCTTCTTTCTTCCGATACAGACATGGATCGGAATCACACCACTTGAAGCCTTGCCGTAGTAGCTCCGGATGCAGTTTCTGGTTCCAAGACCTCGCAGCGTGCTTCAGACCGTATAAACTTTTCTTGAGACGTAACACCTAGTGCTCTTGTCCATGAACACTGAACCCAGGAGGCTGTCTGAGGTAATTCTCCTCCTCAGTCAGTACAGTACCGATTCCATTGCCTACCGTGCACATGCTGCTATCAAGCGGTTGGAGGAGTGTCATAAGCAAGAGTTTCGACGCGAGTAGTTTATTAACTCTTGAAAATGCTTGATGTTGGGGTGTAATGTTGAACGAAATCTACTGCTAGTCATGGGAAGCTTGGTTCTATCTAATCCTCAGAAAAACCTTGAACTTTCCCGAACAGTCTTTTCTGAGAAGTTCAAGTTTTACCTTTTCAGGTTAACAAGATACAGCCGTTTTTATTGACACAAAGGTCGGTCTATTTTGGCTTGATTTATTTCACTTTGGCTAGTCTATACATTTGGATTAAAAAAGACCACTAATTAAGGGTGGTACAAAACATTTCAAGATGCCACAGGAGTTGTCAAGCTGACTTCCCAACTTAGATAAGTTGTTTATCATTATAATATGAAGGTATGGAAGCATGATCGGAACCCTCGTCGGAATCCACAGGGAAATCAAAGAACATAGCCAGAAATCTATCACAGTTTCAGCTCGCAGCAAAAGCTGATAATGTACTATGTAAGTCTTCCACGTTGTCCTATTTACTCAACATATCTCAGTTATCCTGGACACCAGTAGTTTTGCTAATTTTCTGAATGATCATTTCGTCACGTCATGTAAAAAATGCTTTGGATAAAAATCGGTGATGAATTATCACTTATTCACTGAATTCCGGAGATTTGATATTTTGATTAGAATTCGATTCAACTAAATAATAATAATGATTAATTCAGAAACACATTTCCGTTGAATCGGTTGTATTGCAGAACAAGAATAATTATAGATTCTTCACCGTGCCACACACATCCTGTTAATATGTATTACGAGCACACAAATGGTAAATATTGTAGTTAAATAACACTTAAAAGTTCGCATTGATCGCATTTATGTTTTGATTCAAATGATTCTGAAGCATTGTTGTTTTCGTTTATGATCTGGTATGAACATCATGCTGTATCACGCTAGCGTAATGTGAACACCTCCATATCACGTGATATAGAGCGTAATGAGAACAGGGTATAACACTGAAATACCTAGCGAAAGCCAACGGGTTGGGCTTGGTCAAGATCGCAGAAGCGAATTCAATTCGACATCAGATCAGCCTCTTTCCAACATTATATTTACACAAAACAAAAACTTATTTTTTTTCGCTTGGACGTGACTTCCCACCGGACGACCCGACACGATCCTGCCACGATCAATTCTTGAATGAAAAATTTGTAAAACCCATCGCCGACGTCGGTCGTGGTTGTCGCGACGCGGGGCACGCGTGGGTGGACACTTTTCTTATTCCCTCTTCGACAGAGTAGTTTATTTTGCCCCATCGTGGCTGTCGCACGCGAAAGTGGTCAATCGCGGGAGGAGAGTTAATTAATGTCCAAATACATGGCAAGCAAGAAGAAAAAGCGATCGTTACGTTATGGGGCCCACAAAAAAAAAAAAAAAAAACAAAAAGAAGGTAGATCGGTCGTTGGTACCTCTACTTTATGGCGGGAGACTTGGGTTATGAAATAGTCGTCGTCGTTTGGTCGGTTGCAAGGGACGGCGCAGTGATTTTTCTTTTTTCCTCGGAGAAGGGTCTTAAAAATAGACATTTGGCGCTTGGAAAATTATGACAAGAAGGTGAAGACTGCCGAAGAATACGCAGGAGAGTGGTCGGTCTCTGAATGGGGCTTGCGGTGCAGCGTGGTGTTCTTTTTTTTCATTAGAAAATGGTCTTTTTTTCAGAGTGGAAATTCATTCAGCGATTTTGTAGAACACACGGAAAAAACAAACATTGTAGTAAAGCATAAGTCAAACAACAATGGCGGACGGTCAGTCATTTTAGCAACATGGCGGCAGCGAGGAGTGCGTCGTTTTTGACAAGCTGGTAGTCGATGAAGACACCTCCAGTAGGCGGTGGGGTACTCAAAACAAACAGTGTAGTGATTTGTTGACGTTGCGAGGCAGGGATGTCGCTTTTACGACGGGATTTTATTTGCGCTCATCGCGAATAAAAGTGGTGAATAACCTATTAAAAAAAGCGCAAAGTTGTTGACGGATTGATTTTCAAGCTGGCGACGGAAATCCGTGCGTGCGTTCGCAGAAAATCTGTTCAAGTGAAATTCGTACAATTCCTAGAAGCAATCGAATAGCGCAAAAAAAAAAGTCGGAAGGAAATAACAGTGAAAAGCAATTTTCCCACCGCAAGGATAAATCTCCCAAAATAAAAAAAAAAGACCGCATTGAGAAGGGAAGAGTTGTGCCAAAAAAACACGAGTTGTGCGAAAAACCATGAAACTGTGGAAATCGAAGAAAAGTTCCTCCGGCTCCGGCTCGGGCTCGGGCAGCAGTAGCAGCAGCAGTTGCGTTCCCAGTGCCGGCGGAAGTGGCAAGGGAGGGACATTATCGAAAAGCTGCAATTTCAATAGCCACAGCAGCAACAACAGCTTCGAGGATAATAGCGTCGAGACGTCGTTCATCAACCCGACGACGGGCGGTGGTGGAGTGGCGACGGCAGCAATAACCACCGCTGGGACGCCGTCGGCTGGTCTGATGCAGTCGGCATCGGTGGCAGGAACAGGAGCAGGAGCAGGCACCACCGGGAGCATGATGTCGGGTGAGTTGGCATTATTTTTGGGCTTTTTGTTTCGCACGCTGCTGCTAGCCGGGTTGGAATCGCTTGTGACGGCGAGCATATTTTCAGAAAAACGTTTGGAGCTTCGCTCGTTGTAACATTATGTTCTTGATGATGACGATGATATCTCCCAAGATTATTACAGCAGCATTAATTCCTCTAAACAATGAAGACAAAATTTGTATTGTCATTGTGTCGTACCGTTTAGGTTCCTGTGCTTGGGGCTTTGTTTTGAGGTCATACCGAAGCGCGCGCCAGTCGGTCGCAATGTTCCGGTCGAATTAATCTGTGTACATATCTGTAGGTATGTACTTGGCTTCACGAAGGCGCATGTATTCGTTGAACCATGAAATTGTGCATTTATTTCCTATTGCTGAGCTTGAGAGTTGAATTCAGTAGCTCTCGACGTATCCGTCGTTGGATGACGGGATGGCCAAAAACAATGCCCACACGGCTAATTGAGTTAATTTCTGGGATAATTTTCGTGCCATTAAGCTTTCATTGAAGTGATTGTAAATTATGAACTCACTCACTCACTCATGTCACACATATCTCCTGCGCATCTCCAGTGAACGTGAAATACTTTCATTTTGGTGGCTGCTTGCTTTTGCCTTAACCTGGGCACAGGTCAGATTTCTGTCGATTTGCTTGGTTTCTTTGTTGATGTCCAGCTGGTTTCCAATGCACTGTTCGCTTGCAGATTTCGTCCTCGGATTTCCGTTGATATTGGCTTCTGATGATTCGACGATGGAGCTCGGAGTTTGAGATCCAGTTGTGAGGTCACCAAGCACGTTCTCTCTAACTTTTAGAAGTTTGGTTTGGAAGCATGATTAAAGTTTGCAGGTTAGGCTTCAAGTTGAGTTAGAGCAGCCTTTTTTATTTTGTTGCAAACGATCCACTTTGAAAAAGCCTGCCAACTTACGATGCTTCGTAATATTTAAATCATACATTTTATGGATTATATATATCTTTTGAGCATCAGCATAATTTGAAAAATTGTTAGACTCATTCCAGGTGATGGGACAACTAGATTTTCAGTTCGTGATTAGTTTTAAACCTATACTGAACTTCTTACTATGGTAATGTTATGTGCAGTAATAGAAAGTAGACATGATTTACTTTGTTTTCCAATCAATAGCTACGAATATAGTCACTAATAAATGCTACTGGAAGTAAAACACTGCATGATGTGACAACGTGAGCTGAAAATGGCATTTTTTTTTAAATTTAGCTCTGTTTTTTGAGAAATTTTGCGATAAAGAAATATGTCTTGAAATTAGTAGGATAGTTTCAAACATGTGTTTAAAATTTTTGGTAAATTAATTAAATAAATTATAATTAAAAGTAATAAACGACAGAAAATTTGAAATGTAGTTGAATAGTAGTGGTGCATAATTTCATGGAATGTGTCATTATTATGCAACTTACCTTATAAGAAACGGTTTCCCCCTCTCCAACTGCGGGGGTGATTCCAAGATTAGAAGTGCGCTTTGTCGGGCCACAGATAGCCCAGTCGATAATGACACGGAGCAAGCCGGATTGGATTTCCGCTCCGGTCTAAGAAATCTTTCGCAATTTCCAGGCCAAAAAAAAAATCAGACTGGTCCTGCTTCGATTTGCATGAAACTTTGGACATTTTTTTTTTGTTTTGGTCAATCATTTACATTTGAGCTAAACTTTTGAATCTCTGTTGTAGGAATTAATAATTCATTTTTAGGAAAAATATACATTGGAAATGCTATCTAACATGAAGCTTTAGTGTGATAATTTATTAGCTAGAGAATGGTCTTAGAAGAGGGTAGGTAGATAGTTCCGTTAGAGTACGGCAGTATGAAAATTGAATATAAGTTGAAAATGAGCGAAGGGTTATTAATGCGACAGTACAAAGTCAAACGCACTTGGGGCTTTATACCCTGTTCTCATTACGCTCTATATCAAGTGATATAGAGTGATTCGTGATATAGCAGCTATATCATGTTCTATATTACGTGATATCCCATACAAACGATTTGTCAATCTATATCATGAATAGTTCTTGATATAGCTCATATCATGTTGTGTACTTGATAAAATCCTGAAAAGTAGTGACTGGCAACCAGGCCACGATACAGCTGGTTGCTATTTTTTGGCTTCTCTTGAAGGGACAAACGGGAGACTCCAAACGAAGTATACGGTTTAACAGGAAAAACGGAGGAAAGTTTATTTAAACGTCTGTACTACACGAAGTGCGATTGTGGAATGAACAGTTATTAATTTTCACAAACAGGTAACGGGTCGTTGCCAGGGAGGGCTTCCCAACAACTTAACAGGGGAAAGCGACGGCTGATTGCCTACTACGCCAACACCCCCTCTCAATCGGCCATTCCAAGGCCTTGGCACAGCTTCTCCATGCGCACCGCGTCCACCGGTTTGGTGAACAAATCCGCCAGTTGCTTCTCGGTACTGATATACTTCACCGCTACACGTCCATTCGCAATGTGGTCCCGTTTTCGTCCCTTTCAAATACCGTACTATACGCTTGAGGCATTGCCAATGGTTAACTGTTGGGTTCTGTTGGTAACGGCCCAGAAATCCGACGGGGAAACACAAATCAGGCCTGGTGCACAGCATTACGTACATAATTGTGCCCAGCATTACGTACATAATTGTGCCCAGCAGCTCACGGTACGGTTCTTGGGTTGACTCACCATCACGAGAAACACCAGGTTCTTCTCCATAGGCGTCTTGGTCGGGTTACAATCCGTCATCTTAAAGCGTATCAATATTTTGTCGATATTCGTTTCTTGAGAGAGTTTCATGGAATTCGACTGATCTCACCGCAGTCCGTCATCTTGAACGTCGAACTCAGGGCTTTCTTCAGATTTACAATCGTTTCAATCTTCCTCCAACGACAGCTCAAGCTCGTACAGGCTGCCTCGCAGGTGTCCAGTGGCCAGTGACTTACCACTTTTCTTCAGAACTGCTACGTTTCCAGAGAACAAGACATCGATCCCAGCATTGGCCATCTTCCTGACGGATATCAGGTTTTCACGTAGTTCTGGAACGTAGAGCACATTCTTCAGATTGAAATGTACACCTTTGTTGCTGTTCACCAATCTGTTCAGCAAGCATAGCTTCTCCTTCCTTGGCGACCTTGTTCTCCACGCGACTGGTCATCTTCTTCAGGGCAGCAAAAACGAACTTGTCGCCAACCAGGTGGTCACTGCACCCGGAATCAAGCTTGAAAAGGATTCGTCCAGGCCGCTTTTCCGCAATGTTTGCATCGGCCATGAAACTGATGGCATCCTTCTTCGCTGAATTGTCTTCACGCTGGCGACAATCCTGTTTCATGTGGCCGCGACGCCCGCATTTGTGGCACTTACCGAGGAATTTCTGGGACTTCTTTTGGGATCTTGAGTCACCCGAGAACGCTGCCGACTTGTCTTCAACTGCCGGTCGGATCGCTTCCTTTCTTCAGCCAATAGACGCTGCTTGACGAGGTCCAAATTCAGGTCTTCTTCCGCAAAGTTCTCCAGGGCCGTGACTAGGGGATCGAAAGAGTCTGGAAGCGTGAAGAAAAGCTGCGACACCAGATCACTTTCCGCCAGAGTTGCTCCGGTCGTCTTCAATTTTCTCCGCAAACGAGCCAACTGCTTCCGTACTAACGTTTGGCTCGCGACAGACTTCTTCGCATAAGCCGCCTCCAGACTGACCCACATCTCCTTCGTGGTCGCCGTCTCTCGAACGATCTCGAGGCATTCGTCCGACAGGCAACCCACCAGCAACGCCTTGGAGATCCGGTCCGTTTCTTCAAACTTCTTCTTTGCAGCTTGTTCCGTTGGAGCCACCTCGGTCAGCACATCCGCGACGCCTTTGGCTTCCAGGAACAGGCGCACTCGATAACTCCAGTTTTGGAAGTCAGCTCCGCTTCCACGCAGCAACGGGATGGACTGAAGGACGAAACATCCTTCGCGGTGGTGCCCATAACCTCTTGAAGGGACAAACGGGAGACTCCAAACGAAGTATACGGTTTAACAGGAAAAACGGAGAAAAGTTTATTTAAACGTCTGTACTACACGAGGGAGAGCTTCCCAACAACGTAACAGGGGAAAGCGCCAACAGCTTCAAATGTCACTTTTCCGTCGAGTCAATAAAAACATTTAAAAAAATCCGAACTGGCAGTTTCAAGCAACCGTTCTAAATCTCCTGACCCACCTACCCGAGATGAAGTTCTTCCGCAATCAATACCATCGGATTGGCTCCATTCAACTGTCGTCAACTAATGGAAGGTTTCACGGTGGTGATCGCCTTCGGAGTGTGCCCGTCGAACAAAAAATGTAGCAAATCAAAGATTTTCTCCGGTACCCAACCAAAACGTCCCGTCACCAGAACGGACGCCGTTTTGTGTCGACTGCCCTGGTACCGTAGGAGGAAATCAAGAAGCTCTCCCGATGGGAAGTCATCAACATCAACGTGAAAGTTGGTAAATAAGAGATTGTTCACGAGCGTGATCCAACTGTAATCAATGGTGCTGAGCGCTGCGCATATTGTTTCCGCCTCAGACGTTCGATGATACTAAAAAGATCCGTATTTAAAGAATGCCCATGTGGGCTTTCCTTTCCTTGCTCTGGCTGTCCTGTGTAGCCTGCAAAATCCAGGAAGCCATCGTTTTGAAAGTGAAAATGCAGCGTTGAACAGCTTTCCATTTGTATGATATGAAACTGGTCAGGCTGCAGCAAATATTTCGATGCTCATTGGTCAAAAGTATCCGGATCTCCTCGGTACTGGCTTCGTACGCTCTGAAAGCTTCCACACGATACCGCCGTCAGAATAGGTTTAGCAAGGATAGGTTAGCAAACTCAAATCCCTGATGCGGCACATGCAAACAATAACAAAGTTGTTCTTTTTTCTCACTTTCATAAATGACAAACTATATTAAGTCACCGTAATGTGAACACCTCAACTTGATATCGATATCATTTCGTTATATCACGTGATATAAA